AGAGTTGGACAACTAGCAAAGGCTTTGACATAGGCAAGAGATGCCACTTCCACTCACGCTCATCGGTAAACAACCGGACATATGGCCAGGTCGGGACTAAGGAGCCAAAGAAATGCAATTCCTTGTGTTCCCAGAGAGTGGGAAATATTAGCAAGTAGCACTGAGCCCCCGCCCAGCAGAGCAAGTGATCTCCAGTCAACACAGGGTTGGGGGCAGGCAAAGAATTACAAGAATTCTAAACTTTGCAGACTACGTAAAAGCTTTGGTGATTACTCCAGGGAGTTTTGAAAATGCTACTCTGTTTTAAAATAAGAAGGATATTTACTTAGATATTGCAATTAATGTGCTTTCACTTCCCCATTTTTCATCTTTTCTGCACTTTTGTGACGCAGAAGAATGTCGATGAATCACACCAACTACGTCCTGAGCGCGGGCACTCATTTGTTGAGTGATCGACACCATGTAAAGAAACCATTGTAAAAGGAATATAATGGATCCATAGACTGCACGTCATGTCCCAAGTCACAAGGCAGCGAGGGAGCCTCCGTGTGTTTTGCCATGAGCCACGAGAGTACTTTTACTACTTCCTTGAGGAAAGGTGGCCCCGGAGGAGTGATTCAGGTTTGTTGGCACTTTCCAGAGGTGACTCCTGCTTTCAGCCCTGGACTCTACGCACTGCTGCACAGTGTTAGGAGTAACAGCAGAAAAAACCAATGTCAGACACAATGAAAGACAATATCATGGCCACAGGTCACCCACGGTGTCTTCCCAAAGAGAAAGAAAGTAGAAAACACTCTCTTTCCAGGACTTACTCAACAGTTGCCTTCTCTATGAAGTCACTGGTAAGGACCAATTAGAATGAGTGATTTCTACAGCTTTTTCTTTTTCTTTTTTTTTTTTTTTTTTTTTTGTCTTTTTCTTTTTTATCGGTACCCGGGATCGAACTCACGACCGCCTGCTTGCAAGGCAGGTGCTTATGCCGCTGAGCTAAATCCCCAGCCCCTTCTACAGCTTTTTCTATCTTCTTGCGCTATGCAATCACATTTGTATTAATTGCTTGTCTGTCTTCTTCACTAGATTTCGAACTCTCTGAAGATGCAGCTCTGCTATTACTCAGATTTCTTACCCCCCAGCATAAAACTGAAAGACACTTTATGCAAAAGGACAAAATAAATCTTTGCTGAATGGAAGCCCTGCATTCACCTTAGAAATCAAGTTTTTATATTCATTTCACCTCTCTGCTCTGTTTTAAAATTATAAACCAATGTCTATATGCAAAGAAGGAAGATGGGAACCACGCATATTAGTATTCTCAGCCCGACCCATTTGCCATGCCAAAAGAGAGAATTTGATTCCATTTGAGAGCTGATGCCTCAGGTCCAATTTAATTCGATCCCCAAATGACCAAGTTGATTAATCGTCAGGTCTGGCTTTTCTTACTAGTAAACCTTAATCTCTCATAATTTGCCATGAAATTGGTAGGAGTTGGCTGTTTGAGGCATGAATGAGGTGGGTCTTGTTCAGACCTCGCTGGGCCTTCTTGGAAGGTGTGGCTGGGCTGGCTGCCCAGGAGGAGCAGGTGTAATGGGGATTAGGCCACGTGGCGGGAAGGGGCCATAGTGGGCGGGCGGCCGGTGAGATCCCAGGTGTGGTGAGTTGGCAGGGGTACAGAGAGAGGAGCGCTGTGAAAGCTCAAAGTGCCTGGGCCCTGCAGCTGCTTGCTTGGCAGTGTTGGGGATCCACCTGTAGTATTGATGGCTACAGCCACTCCCAGGACCCAGGAAACACTTCAGATCTCTGGTGAGTGGCAGAGACCTACCCTTTCTGGGCAAGAGTTTAGACAAGCAAGCTTGTTCCAAGCAACTGTAAAGGAGCTTACGGCACTTGATCACCTCCCAGTGCTTAAGACAGGGCAGACAGGTCTGGGATTTCTTTTTCGGCCTTCGAAGGACTGAGATAAATAAATATATTTTCTTTCCGTTCAGGGGCCAATTTCCAGGTACACCTTGATAGCATGTGAAAGCAAGACAAAACAAAACAACACCCCTGAGCTGGAGAGTCTTCCTCAACACACAGAAAAATTCAGGGAAATAAAACAGGCTCAAGGGTGAGAGACAAAAATAAATGATGATCCCTTCTCCCAGGCTGTGGGGACCCGCTGTAAACGAACTCCATCCTCACCAGCCTCCTCCATCCATTTCTGCCTCCTTGCTCTGTGCATTTCCGGGTTGGCAGGATGTGGAACAGCCTCACCACTGAGGCTAGCGTTTCAGATTTGCTGAAGGCCAACTACGGTGAACAATGATCTCTGAGGACAGAAGGAAACTGGACCTTTTGTTCATGAAGGTGAACTAGCAGTCTCGCTCTAGTGTACAGGCTGGTGAAGTGTACATGCTCTTTAGTGAGGCCAGGCTCCTGAAAAATGGTGAACCAGGTCAAGGCCCTGTCAGCTACTGCCCTCTCTAGTTTGGTTCCCCCCTCTTTGCTTGGCAGTGCAAACAGCAGAATCTGCTGATTAACCTAAATATGATACTGCTCTCATTCTCCCTACTAACAGAAGCGAGTGCAAGTATGGATTCTAAATGTCCCCCTAAAGCCCACGTTTTAAAGCCGTGGTGCCCAGGTTAAAGGTGATGGAACCTTTAAGAGGTAAGGCATAAAGGAAGTCCTGAAGTCACTGGGTGTGTTACTCACAAAGAGGGTCCTGGGGCCCCTGCCTCTTCCTTTTCCTGATTTGCTCCCTGGCTCATAATGTGAGCAGTTTTTGCTCTCCCATGTGCTCCCACCATGAAGTGATGTCTCACTCAGGCCCAAAATAAGGGCATCAATTGATCATGAACTGACACCTCCATAACCATGAGTCAAAACAAACCCTTTTTCTTTGTAAGTTTATTTTCTCAGGAACTTTGTTACAGTGTCAGAGTGACAGAGGCCAATGCAGAAGACAATGGCATTGTACACAGTTAACACATACTCCCCTGGCCGACTCTGCTGCTCCTGTGCATGGCTGTGTGACTTTTACGGACAAGGAGACATAAGCATAAGGCATCTAGGAAAAGATTTCTTGATAGAGGTGCCATCCATTCTGTGCTCACCACTTTTTTCCTAACATGGAATGCAGCTGGGGTATCAAAATCATTTCTTACTACCAAGAAAATGAAAGCCCCATGTTAATCAGATCAGAGCAGGAGGACACGAGGAGCCAGGGGCATCAGTGCCACTAGGGGACCAGCCCTGCCTGTCAAGCCCTGGGTCTCTTGTTATATAGAGGATAACTCTGTAGCTCCCAGACTCAAGTAGACACGGAATCACCTGAGGATTCATAAGATCCACGTCTGGGTGGGACCTGAAATCTTGCATTCCTAATCCCAGATGGTCCAGATGATTGGACACATAGCATTAAGAAGCACTTGGGTGGCTGCAGTGCCATGTGCAGAAGCCATTGTTGGCTAGGTTTGCATATACTTGGAGACAAACACACAGCCGCCTGATACACTGCCCTCTGACCCTCCATAGCTACACAGCTCACCTGGTCCCGTACTAGCAAGAAAGGCGGGAAAACTCACCTACCTGCAAAGCACAAATACCCCTGAGGGCATTATAATCTATGTGGATTCCAGGCAGAGATCAATCACTGTTTTTTGTCTATAACTCAATTGTTTTTTTAAAATGATGTGTAATAACTACACAAATTTATGGAGTACAGGGTGATAATTTGATACAGCTATGCAAAGGGTAATGATTCAACATGATAACCAGCATTTATATCTCCTTAAACATTAACCATTTCTTTGAACTGGAAAACTTTGAAACTCTCTCTTCTGGTTCCTTACAAAATATACAGTAAACTATTATAAACCCTATTTTACTGTGAAATAGTAGGCCTTACTCTTGCAATGTGACTGTAGTTTGGTACTCAAAATCCAAGCTGCCTTTGTCTCTTCCCTGTTCTTAATTTCCAAAAACCACTCTTTCACTTTCTTCTCTGAAATCAGCTTATCTTAGCTTCCACAATGGATGAAAATATGCAGTATTTGACTTTCTGTATCTTCTTCCACTAGGTGAGACTAACATAAACGTATGGAATATTTTTCATTAACTGTTTACATTTTATAAAATGTGTTGTGGCAGAAAACACATCACCATGAATCCTCTTTGCTTCAAACACTTTTCCCACTCTTCTAGCCACTGTCTGAGGCAGCTCTGGAAGTCCTCTTTCGTAAGTGTCTTTAGTTGCTGCTTCAATGTTCTGAATTGATTCAAAATGTTTACTCTGCATGGTAATTTTGAGTTTAGAGAAGAGCCAGAAGTTGCACAGTACCAGATCCGGTGAATCAGGTGGATGTGGACACAGTCTAATATTTCTTACCAGCCTGCCCTTCCGTGGATGGCCTTCAGCAGCAGCAGCATTCACTGTGTATTTTTTCATCACGAGACACGAGAAAAAGAGCTTCCACAACTGCTTCAGAAAGTGGCAGGAATGATGGAATAGGTGTTTGAAACAAAGGGAGTATATTTTTTTTTGTGGGGGAGGGTTAATGACAATGTATGTTTTACAGTCACAAATTTTTTAGAAAAATTTAGACATTCACTATATATTTCTGTCACACTTCCTAATGTCCTCCAATTCTGTGTTGCTGAAAATGATAGGATTTCACCACTTTAATGGTTGAATAATATTCCATTTTGTGTATATGCCACATTTTATTTTTTGTTGTTGTTTGTTTGTTTTTGAGACAGGGTCTCACTATATAGTGAAGACTGACTTTGAACTCACTTATGTAGCCCAGGCCAGCCTCTATCTCATGGTGATCCTCCTGCCTCAGCTTCCCAAATACTGAGATTACCAGTACCATGTGACACCATGCCTGGCTTTATATGCCACCTTTTTTTTTTTTTTGTACTGGGGATTGAACTCACAACCTTGCACTTCCCAGGCAGGTGCTTACACTGCTGAGCTAAATCCTATATGCCAATAATGCCACTTTTTTTTTTTAAAGAGGTTCACTGTTCCATTCAACCTTGGTTGAAGAATCTCTGATTTGCTGTTGCTGCTGCTGGTGGGGATGGAACCCAGCCTCACACACCGCTCTACTGCTCTACTGCTGAGCAATATCGCTAGCTGAAGAATCTAACTTTGAGGCATCATTGGAGCCGAAGGGAGTTAACATGCGTGCAGGGGTGCTTAGCTGGGCGCTCTGCTATCATGCAGGAGACACAGTTATCTTTTCTATATACAGGTGGGTCCTTTAGTAGTTTTTCTTTCTTTCTTTCTTTAATTATGGAAACTGGAGCAAATTCTTCACCTTTCCAAAGCTCAGTTTCTTCATCAGTAAAGCTATAGTGTACTACAGAGGGTTTATAAGATGCAAGTTGTGTTTGGAATCAGAGACAGCCTCAGTGCCCATCCTTGGAGAGGAGGCTGTGCCCGTGAGTATCACACAGTATTACACAGCAGTAAGAAGCTCCAGAATGGATCCACAAACAGTGAAACAAACAAAATCCTGAAAACACTGTGATCAGTGAAAAAGGATGGTGAATTAATTTTATAAATTAAAGAATTAGAAATAGATGCATGCCAAATAGCATCCAGTGTGTAATGCATAAATACAGATACATAGCCAAGCCCTTTAGAATGATTATATGTGAGGGGGAGGAAATGCGAGTAGGATAAGGATATAAAACTTTTTTCTTTTTCTTGTTTTTATTTTTATTTTAGAGAGGGTAAAATTAAGCAGAACAAGATATTGTAAGAAAACAATGAAAGAGACACAGATCTCAAATCAAGACAACTGGAGATCTTCACTATCTATCACATTGTCTCTTGTTTTCTTCCAAATAGTGGTACATATCTTCACATACAGAGAATTCACATGAAACAACATAGTATAGAACTGATTTGAACAAGATGAGGAAGGCGTTTTAGGTCTTTAAGATCAGACAATAGGGAAGTCAACAATGGCTGTCATAGTGTGTCTCATTCTCTTCAAAATAGCTGCTCATACCTTCATGTATATTGAAATTAAACAAAACCAAACAGGCTAAAAATCACTTGAACAAAGAATAATAGTATTGATGGATTTCACATCATGACCTTATGGAATCAGCACTGGGTACTGTAGTGTCTCTTTTTCTTTAAAGTAGTTATGCTTTTCATCATGTGTTATATGATCAGTTCTCGTAAACTGTTTATAGGTTCTACACATGCATGACTCTCTACATGTATTTCTACCCTTCCTGTATTGTCAAAACAAAACAAATTCCTATAAAAACATGAAACAAAAAGCATATAAAACCATAGTACAAGGTGATCCACAATGGTTACTATGTTGTCTCTTGTTATCTTCAATAGAATTGTCTATCATCAGGAATAGTAGAATTGAATATAGCAGTACATAACAATATTAATAAAAACAAAACATTATAGGTATTATAGGTAATGTAAAAGTTCAAAAGCAGGTAATAATCAAACCAGAGCGGGTATCCTAGTGAATCTTATCATCTTCAGTGTAGTTGCCTATATTTTCAGACTTGATACTATCAATTATAACAGATTTGTATCAAATCTGTCAATACAAAACAGCAATCTAACAGACCAGATTCAACTAAGATCAGTCATGATAAAATAGTGTAAGTTATACAGGGCTTCAGATTAAGGATGATTAAGGAAATTAAGGATGATTACTGTACTATGTCCTGCTATTTTAGGGGTAGCTATCTGTGCTCTCAAATTTAGTACAAGCAGACAAACTGGAACAGAATATAAGCATATAAAAAATTTTTAAATGAGTATTTACTGACAGATAAACTGTTTGACCAATTGACAAAATTCATAGTGTCAGCCAGCACCAAATTTAAATGAAAATACTAATGAAAAGGAGCCCTCATACTCTGCTGATAAGACGGTAATTTGGTACAATCCTGGTACAACCATTAACTACTCCTAATACCCTTTTCTTTTTCAACAGAGTTGAGCCCTGATTCTTTTGTGGCACAAGACCTCTTAGAATGACTTCATTCCCAGCTTCCCCTAAAACTTAGGTGTGGACGTATAAATAGGTTCCAGCCAAAATGTGATGAGTGGGATTGTCATTTGAAATTTTGGGAGGTTTCCTTACACAAAGGAGTCTCAAAACATGATTGAGAACAAAGGTAGATGTCAGAAAGAGACAAGAATGATCCAGAATCTCTAAAATCTTCCCCTCAGCCGACCCAGCCTACACTTGGAAAGCAAGTAACCCTAAATGCTTTCATTGTCCTTGCAGGGAAAGAAAATAATCCTAGAGTATACAGAATGACCACGCTGTGTATAACTTGGCATTCGCACTGCTACACCCCTCAAAAAACTGTTAGAGGAGGGAGCCATAAACAAAGTGGAAAGGTCTGAAGTGTTAGCACAATGGTTTAAAGAAAGTTTTTATAATGGCTTTCTAAATCTCTCTGTTAGCCTGGAGATTTGTTAACAAAACAGTGCTCCCAGCTTCTCTCTGCGCTGTTCATTATAAGCATAAATATCTTGAAGTTCAGTTTTGATGATTGAATAATCCCTGAAAGAAGATTATGAACTCAATTTGTTAATATTTCTCTTTCCTGACAAAGAATATATTACAGTTCTCAGTCAGCTGATTCGTGCATCTACCACTAAACACCATAGCCAACATCTGTTCCTAATAAAAATCTATAATCAGCAATGCCCACTGCCTTTCAAAACTTATTTTCTTCATCCCCAAACTATGCTCAGATCTGGCCAAAGCTTGTTTCTGTTGTCACTGAGACATAATGGCACTGCATTTATTCCAGGGCAAATAAATGAGGAGCAACCCCACGGAGAATCTGTCAGCCACCTCAGCGCTTGCAAATCTGAGCCTTCACTGTAAGTTGATATTTTCGTTTTTTAAAGCACTGAAGTATGTCAGTGTGTGTGTGTGTGTGTGTGTGTGTATGTGTGTGTGTGTGTGTGTGTGTTGGTTTGTTTTTAAGTTTATAATGTTCAACTCTTGTGAAACTTTGTTTCAGGTCACAAGGCTAAAAGACATTTGATAATAAAAACAGTTCACATTTTTAGAAAAAACATTCTGCAGGCAGCAACCTCATGACACCCTTTCCACAAGAAACTGACTTTTCAAAAACTGTGGATTGTGTACTGAGCCTTCAAGCAACAGACAGACCTTATGCAGTAAAGACCTATGGGCAGCACCGACCCAAGCCTGTAGGTCCGGCAGAAGGATTTAGGGATGGCTTACAGCCCCTCTTGCAGACTGTCTGGCCTCTGTGTGAGAACCCCAGCTAGAACTGTTTAAAAACAGCCTTTATATAAGCAAAGTATGAAACTCTGAGTGAAAACTGAGGACTTCTTTTCCTGGCAATGACAAACCCTACATATTTTCTTTTTCTTCCTCTAAGAACAGTCAGTCCTAAATATTTTTTTCTGATTTGAGCCTTTTTCCAAGAGAAGCACATGTGGGAAGCTTCTGCATGTTTCTGTTTGTCCCAAAACCACAGCAAACAGGGCAAGTGTACAAATTAGTGCTTAAAAGAACAGGAGGCTCAGCAAGCATGGTGCAGGGTGATACAGGCAAACTGTGGCCCAGGAGCAAGCTCACCGCCTTGCAGCCTTCGAAGCAGCTATGTTCAGTGAGCTGGGTCTGGACTTACACCAGCAATGCTTGTTTTTCACAATTACAAGTGGGCACCCAACACTGTTCACTTCAGTCAGCAACATCTCCTAGTTCTTTTGCTTATATCCTAAAAGGCATCTTTGAGCTTGCCAACTTCCTGAATGGTGCTAAAGGTAGCATACCTTATACCATCTTCAAAGATGTACATTGTTTTGCAAAATTGCAACTGTAAAGAGTGTTTCCAAATCGAAGTTTTTGGAGGGAAGAAGAGAGAGGGCCACTAAATGCTTGAAGAAATACAGGAAGTCATAATTTGAGATTTAAGAATAAAGTAAAAGAGTAATTTTAGTACGCTATTTTTTCTTTCCTACCAGGAAACTTCATTATGATGTGGGACAAGAAAATTGATTTTCCAAGCAGTAACAGCTTTGAATATAGCAAAGCTATGCTGGTTTGTGCTCCATTAAGGAACTGATGTACAACTAAAGCAAGCAGCAGGTTTATGCATAGATGCCTGTAGATTTTTCTAGAAATCCCTGAGAGAATTAGAGCTGTGTTTGCAAGTGGCCACTACCCCTGCCTCCAGGAGTAAGTGAGGGAAGAGTAAGAACTGACTCTTGACAAACCACGAGTGAATTTAAGAGCCAGAACCCAAGAGTGTCTAACACACTGCGGGAGCCTCCAGAGTGAGGATGGACTGCAAGCCATCCTAGAAGGTCACAGGCAGGAGACTTACTTGCTCAGAGATTTCTATGTTGTATGCAGAAGTCAAAGAATGTTATTTTGCATGAGCCCCTGGTAGAAGGGGAACTTGAGGGGCTAGGTTAGAGGGCAAGTGCTCTACTCCCTATCAGCCTGAGAGTTTGCCTGTAAGTATGCTGTCAAAAACTGTAGAGCCAGGCTCACAAGGAGCTGGACTCACTTAAGACGGTTGGGCCCAGACAAAGACAGAGCTGGCTTCTCCTCCAGAGCAATAATGTAGGCTGCAGGGCAGGGGCTCAAGTGGACTGTTGGGACTTAATAGCAATAGTTGTGAGGTCTGATTGTTCCTTTCTTTCCCTGGGGATTATCCTCATCAGGATCAGGTTGCTTGGTTAACCCTCACTTCTGCATTCCTGTGCCAAGGGGAAGCAAAAACGCAGAGCCAGCCTGGAATGGGTTGGGTGGATGGTCCTACATTTGTGCCTCGATTCCAGCACAGGCTTGCTTAACTCACACTGTGGCAATGACTTACCTTGCTTGTAGACAGGATTTCATCTGTTCCCATGGGAGGGTATTTTGGTTACTTTCCTCTCTTTGCTGGGGCAAAACACCCCACACCCAACATAAAGGAAGGAAGGAAAGGTGTATTTTGCTGTTTGTGGAATTTTCAGTCCATAACCTGCTGGCTGCAAGGCAAGGTGGCATGACTGAGGGGCAACACTTCAAGGCAATAGGCAACAAAAGCAAGCCAGAGCAAAAGAAGGCAGAGAAAAACTCTACCTTATGTTGTATGCAGGCCACCCCTACCCCCATCCCAGGGTAGATGTAGCACTCAGAAAATCTCCTTGTCTTCCTCTTTCACAGGCTCAGGATGTTTACTTAAAGTGAGGATCCTGGCTCCCTGCTGAGACTCTTAAACTTCTAATCTACTCAGGTTGACACAATGTATCAACCATAACAGTGAGGTGCACAGTCCAGGCATTCAAAGAACCAAGGGTGATTGCACACCAGGCATTTCAATGACCAGTGAAGACCAGTTCATGCTTTAAGCAGTACCGTCAGAGTCCGAGTACACCTTGGATTATCCTCCGAGAAACCTCAGGAAAGAGTGAACCAGCTGCCATTGGCTGTTACTCACTCATGCATTCATTTATTCAACAAATGTTCACAGAGCACAGAATATGTGCCATTCTAGGTGCAGGAGATACAAGAATACACAAAAAAGAATGTAAATTCTGCTCTCAAAGGGCTCATATTTTAAAAAGTCAACAAATTATAAAATGTATTTTCAAAATACATATGTCTAAAGTTTTCAAATAAACTACAGAGTTTATATGAGCAATTTGTGAGCTGGGCTGTGTACAGAACCAGGAGTTCAGAGAGTTCGGTCCTGCAGGAACTCCAAAGCTAAGTAGAGGAACCACCTGATTGGCTATTTATTTGAGGCATTTGCCTTGTTTGGGTCTGGTGTGGTGAGCTGGCTGCTTGTGACTGGCTGAACCCCAGCTGCTTATAACTTTATGGATCATGACTGCTCCTTACACAAATCTATACTATTAGTTTTCACTTTGTTTACATACTAAGTTAGGTGTGTTTGCATACTAAGTTAGGTTAGTTTCTTATGTCAGAATTCAGCAAATGAAAGCCTCAGGCTGTGTCTCCTGCATATTTTGCTTTAACCCAGCACACTGGGCAGTGATGAGTACTACGGATAAAGATAAAGCAGAAAAAGAGGATCAGAAGATTGTAAAGGGCTATATACACCACTGGAGTGGTCAGGGACAGTGTCACTTGAGAAGGCAGCCTCTGACACAGATGCAGAGGATGCCATAAAGTGAGCTACTCAGACACACGAAGAGCGTGCAGGCAGAGGGCAGAGTGTGTGCAGAGACCTGGGCAGGAGCACGCCAGCCTCCTTGGAGGTGAAGAGGAAGCCAGGCTGGCGCTGCCTAAAGACTGGGAGGAGGCCAGGGTCCAATAGATGACAAGAGGGCCCATCACTCAGTGCCTTGGCCATTTTAGTCGCTCTGTCTTACTGAGATATGAAAGCATGGAAAGTCATAGCAGACAGAAGTAAAATGCTCTCATTCAAGGAGGCTTTCTTCTTGGAAGGGGAAGATTTTACCTTACAGATAAAACATGCTGTCCCTTGGAATGCTTGCAGGGAGTGACTTCTCAGGAGGGTGTGGCAGAACCCTTTCAGTGTAGACAACTTTGAGTTTTAGAGCATCTGAATCCTTGCTCTGTCATTCTCCTTCAGTAGAAAACCATGGGAAATATAAACTCCAAGGAGAGAGAGCAGTTTTCAAATTGTGCCCAGTATGGGGTCTGGAATACAGAGAGGAATCAAGGTGACCCAGTCATCTCAACCCAGAAGGAAGCAGATGGGAACTTGGAGTCAGCAAGAGACTTTGAGGCTCTGCCTAACAACCCATCCTTCCTGCATCCAATGTGGGTGGTCAGGAAGGCACCACGAGGAGGATCCAACTATGTGTTTGCACAAATGGCTCCACTCAACATGCATGTGACGAGACTATCCAGAAAGACTGAGAGGCCCCTCAAGCAAGGACCTAGCTGTAGTTACACCATGAGGTCAGGAAAAGGCTCCTGTAAGTCAATGGAGTCTTCACAGCCCTAAGTAGGGCTCTGATGGGGAGTTCTGCATGGCCACACTTTCCCAGGGTTGCCATCTCTGCCTGACAGGACACACAAAGTCTGTCCACCTCGGTTTTCCTTGGGACTGGCTGAGGTCCAGGGAACTATGGGGGTCCTTTGGAAAGAACTTGGGATTCTTGCCCCCAAATAAGAGCCCATTACACCATGGAATATCACCCCTCAATTCCTTTTTACTAGAAAAGCAAAATACTTGGAAACATCGTAAAAGTAAACAAATTGGACTGTTAGAATTTGATGTTGACCTCCAAACAGGATGAAACTTGCCCCAGTGGAACAGACAGTCAAAGGTGAAGAGATAACTTCCACCTACAGGTTGAGATTTACATGCATATCTTCCTGAATGTTGTGTTTCAGCAGGGATTGCTGCAAAGACGTTGGAACTCATCTCACGTGAACTTCACAGGTGAAGGGGGACTTAACAACTGTGATGTCTCTAATAAGTGACAAAAAATGATGCGGGTAATAATTTGACATTTTTTGCATTGAAGTCTCTGTTGGAATAGAACTCGTAAATTAACACTCTTAGGGGACCTGCTTAGGAGGAAAACAGAATGAGGATGGCAAACCCTATTAACTCAAAGTCTCAAGCCTCTAATGAAAACTTCCTCAGGGGCTGGGGAAGGAGAAAGACCAGCGCAGTGTGTGGAAACTTTGTACAGCTCAAAGGCTCCATTTTATAATGGTGAACAGCAGAGACCTCAACTGATTTTATAACTGAGATTTATGTCTCTAACAAAATAAGATACATAACAAAAGAATGACTGCTCAGCCTTTCTGAAGAGGAATTGGTAAGCTCTCTAAAGATACTGTTTACTTAGCTGAGTTACCTATTTTTTTCTGTAAATTTGCCACATCACCCCAGGTTGGAACTCAAAATCTGTTGTTCTCATCAAATCGATTTCCCACAGAATGAAGCATGCAGTAACTATTCTGGGTAACATTCATTGTCATCCACTCAGAACCCAACTCACAGGAGTCACTGAGATGAAGAGGTTCTATGTAGTGAACACAGCCTGTGTGGGGAAGAAAAGAGATCCACACTCTGATACTTTTCTAATAAAACTACTCATTCTATCAGAAAGTGGAGGGAATGAAATACAGATAGATTTATTTAGATGCAGTTTCACTATTATTCTGTAGGTTGCTTTAACCCTCTTCTGACTTTGGTTATTAAATGTGATGCTTCCATAAACAGGAAACAGCTGAGCTGTATGAATACCTCCAGGACTTGTGCTCTTAAACATATGCACAGGTTTCATGAACTAGGAAGTCTATCCTGCAAAACTACTATTGACAAGAAGTAAAGGAGTTAAAATTAAAACGGGAAAGAATGATGACAGCCAGTTCATTGCATACCTATTATCCGACAGGGACTTACGTGTAATTTATCTTTAATTCTTGTCAATAATTCTTGTAAATTAGGGTTAAGGTTCTTGTGTTGCAGATAAAAATATAGAAACTTATTGAAATTATCCAAGGTCAAATAACATGCAGAGACAGGTGGTAAAGCTCAGTGGTAGGAAGCATGCTTAGCATATGGGAGGCCCTGGGTTCAATCTCCAGAGAGCACATTGCACACATACACACACACACACAACACACACACACACACACACACACACACACACACACACACACACAGAGTAGAAAAACAATTTGAACGTGAATCTCATCCCAAATCCTGTGAACTGTGCAGCACTCTCAATACTGCAAACAGGAGGTATCTGTCAAATGGAAATTCAAAGATCCTGGATTGCATAAATAAAATTCCAAATCCATAATTAAAGGACATAAATTTGTCTCAAATGTGTCTGTGTGCCTGCTTCTTCTCATCCACTTCTAATCAGCTTCTTTGATTGAATTTGAATGGAACAGCCTCCTTTACCCTAAAACGAAAGTAGAACTGGTTTTATTTCCTTTGCATTGAGAGGCACCTGCTGGGGTCCAGGGACCCTTCAGGCACCAGAGTCATGAAAGGTGTCCAGGTTCCCCTGCCTGTGGATGGCGTTGTAGTAAGAGCCGCACTGTGAGCTCTCCTGCAGGTTTTCAAATGCGCTGATCGAAAATGACGATTGCAGCTGCTGCTAAGTCTCATTAGTGACTTCAGTCTTCCTCTTCTCAGCCACATCACGGGTAACTAATCACACCGGCAGTAACCAGACGATGAACTTTTGTTTTTCATTTGTGTTGTAATTAAGATGGAAAGATGTTGCTTTGGAGGTCAGGTCCGCAGTCCGAGTCAGGCCTTCTGCAAGCCTCAGTTCCTTTGTGTACGGAACAAAGATGGAGATGACTGTCATACAGAGCTGCTGCTCGGACTCTGGTGTGATACCCAAGAGTGTTTATGATCCCTCTATAGCTCTGTCATTCTAGCACCACAGGACATTGGATTGTTTGTTTTTTTCAACCGACAAATCAAATTCTTTCCACATCTCCATGACCCTGTTCACTTTCCTTACCCGGAATTGCCCAGCACCGTCTTGCCTATGGGCATCTCTTCCATGTGGAAACCTCCTCTTGGGCACCTGTAGTCTGAATTCTGAGTTTCTTCTGCATTTGTGTACCACCTGCCCATATTCGCAGTACACTCTTAAATAATATTACTTGAATTGTTAGTCATTCTCTGGATTAATGTCTTTTTTTCTTTTTTCTTTTTGGTACTTGGAATCAAATCAAGGGTCTTTTTCATGCCAGACAAACACTCTAAAATTTAGTTACATTCCCAGTCCTGGCCTAGGTATTATTAATCTTCTGTGTTTCCTTCACAATGCTCAAAACAGTGCCCGTGCTGATTAAGTAAAGAAATCCATCCTCATTTAGCAAGGGGAAGGAGTGGAAGGACGTGTCTGTCTTCCTTAAGCAGACTTCACTCTGAAATAAGCTCGGTTGTCAAAACAACAATGTAGAAAGCAATTGTAAAGTGCATTTTCCAGGAGGATAAGACTCTCTACCACTTAATGAAATTCCTATCAGACTCCAGTAAAGAAGTGATTCTGAAGGAAGATGAGCCATGGTTTCCAGATGTTTTGACTGTCCACTCCTCTGCTGCACAGTACACATGTATCCATGAGTAAAACCAAATATATACAACTTTTTGACCGGATTGGGGATTGAGTCCAAGGGCCTCACACATACTAGGAAAGAACCCTCCCACTGAGCTACACCCTAAGTCCTTCTTATTTATTTATTGGTATCGGGGTTGAACTCACGACCTCCTGCTTGCCCGGCAGGTGCTTATGCCACTGAGCTAAATCTCCAGCCCCCATTTTGTTTTGTTTTGTTTTGTTTCTGCACAAGATCTTGCAAAGGTCTCTAGGTGTGGGTGTCAATCTTGAAATGCTTCTGCTTAACCTTCATTTCACGGGACCACAGAAGTATATCTCTTTGCTGGGTTTGTGCAAATGTTCAATTAACCCCCACTCTGCATACACCTGTTTATTAAATATGTCAATATACCACAGAATTATTATAGGGCATATTATAAAATATATCAACATATGGAAAATATAATTTTTTTTGTATTTTTCCTTTTCATCGGTACTAGGGATCGAACTCACGACTGCCTGCTTACAAGGCAGGTGCTTATGCCACTGAGCTAAATCTCCAGCCCCTGGAAAATATAATTTTAAAATGAAATATTTAGTGTTTTCTCTTTGCACTGTAAAGAATTATCTTTTGCAAGAAAAGCTTAATCTCAGCTGAGCAACTATATTTTCTAGTAGGCAAAGGAAACCACATTATCTTTCCCTGGACTATTTCCTGATGTGGGCTAGCTTCCCTCTCTCTCCAGATTCTCTTACAAGACCACCAACATTCTTCAAACATTAGTGAAACAAAACAGGAGGAGGGTTTAGAGCTCTGGTTTCTCCATCTGGAAATGTCACAATTCAATCCTGAAGGTTTGCTGTGAAGTTGTAAGCATGACAGTGTAAAACTCAACAGATTATTCTTGAATTCTTTGTTTTCCTTGTGACCTGAGTCTCATTAAATTTATTTTATTTTTCTTCCAAACTCCCAGGGTGTGATCATATGATTCAAATGGAGAAAAACACTGTCAAAACAGTATCATGGAATCATTGCTTTTACACTGTTTTCATTAAATAAAAAACTTCACTATCCAGGTCTAATATTATAACTGTGTCTCTGTCTTAAAGAATCTTATGTAATGCTATAGTCATTAATGTTATTTAATATTCTTAGTATTACAATCCGCACTGTTTCTTACAGTCAATAAATATAAAAATATGGTTGGTTTTGAAAATATATGCGAATGGCCACTGTGTTAAAACCATTTAATTGTGTGTTCGTGCAGTTGTGTACATGTGCTGGTACATACCCACATATGCAAGCAAAAGATTGGACAGATATTCTATTAACAAAAGTTAACAGGGATTATTTTGAGTGATAAAATTGGAGTTAATTTTTTTGTGTGTGTATTTCTGTAATTTTCAAACCATTCTATAATGGCCATATTTGTTTAACAAGAACATACATCCTAACAATTGTGTATAATTGACACAGATTTCTATCTTGTAAACTTCCAAATTAAAAAAAATGTTTTTAAATCCTTTTTGAATCATGGGCATCTAGAAGAAAACTATATTATTTCTAAATTGTATGCTGCATTTTAATTGCAACACAATTTTTAATGCTATTTTGGTCTCATGAGAGAAAATTACATTTTAAGCTAAATATATCCTACATGGAAGTTTATTTGTCTAGCTTTTTAGACACATTTTGGATTGGGGACCAAAACAGAGGCAGAGAATGGGTGAGGAGAATCTTGCAAAATAATAGAATCGTGGCACAGCTGGGGTAGAACTGAAGGGAAACTCTGAAATTAGAACACAGGTCTGTCTGCACAAGATTAAGACTCAGGTAAACATCACGCACTTCCACCATGATCAATCCCTGTAAGGAAGTTTGTACAGCATGAAGCCTGCCTGAAAAGGCCAGGAATAAAAAGAAGATCATTTTTAATCAAGAAAAAAACATATTTCAAGAAGAAATTTTTGTGTACTGGGGCTTCTACTGATTAAATTAAAGAAAACGCATCTCCACATAGATTTGGCTGTAGGACCTTTAAGAATACACAGACAATGCAGTTATTCTCCCTTTGCATTGTGGTAAGCATGGCACAGGATTAAAAGCCTGAGGTCTAGTGAGGCCTAAAAACACCCTTGACATTGTATATATGTATTTTCTCATCTATGTACACATTTTCATTTTTGTGGTAGCATCCATTTTTCCCCCTAGCTTTTATCAAACTCTCAAGTAGGCTAGTGACCTGAAAAGGTCAAAAATTAATGTAATATATAAAAAGCATAGCTTTGACTTCAGAGAGAACTGAACCCACATTTGCAGTCTGCCAGCTATGGGACTTGGAATGAGATGTAATTTTAGACTTACTATCTACTATTATAGCCTTTTAAATAGTGTCAAGAACCTAAAGCAATGTCTGCCACATAGTAGAGACTCTGTAAGTGGCAGCTACTGTATTATTATAGACAGTTCAAGCTACATAAATCTAGAATTCCGGCTTTCCTTATTTTGTTCTGGCTATCCTCTATATTTTTGGGGCGCCCATTCCCACCCCACCCTGCATGTTCCTGGATTGCTCTAAACCAGTGGCAGCAAACCTGTGTGGTGCAGTGGGCATGCAGGACCCTCTCTGTTGGCACAGGAGCCAAGTGCATAAGTTCCTTTTCTAAGCTAAAACCTCAGCCTTCAGGTGTAATTCCAGTATTCCCACTTTGCAGTAAATAAGCAGGTTTTGGGTTGCAGTTTGATCTGTTGGTCACTAACAGGCTAGCCACTGCTGCTCTAAACTATAGTCCGCCTCCTTTTTTTGGTCATTGATCCTTCTAGACCAGTGATGGTGAACCTATTAGAATTTCCAATAACATAAACAGCCTACTCACCACTGTGAACCTTCAGGACCACTATGTGCATTTCCCCAGGTATCCACCAGCTATCACCAGTGAGTCCCACGCACTATCCCCATTGCCTTAGTCAGCTGTTTGCAAGGCCCTTGTTGCCATGTGAAACAGCACAGGCACTGGAGAAGGAAAACAGCAGAGCCTGAAATACACTTCCTGCCAAGTGCTTCTCATTTTAGGGAGACATTCTCAGTTCCTGTCTATGGCCTTGACTCATGCACACATGTGTGCACCTCTGTGTGCAAGTGTGTACACATGTGCGTGTATATGCGTGTGCGCACTAGAGGAACATTTCTGTTGTTCTGCCTGACAGAAAACGTTTTGTTGGCTTGCAAAGACAAATGGTCACAACTCACAGGAGGCATTTCAAACACCAAGTTCTCAACTTCAGATCTGTCAGCTCTTTGAGAGCAGAGGCCACCTTTTATGCAACAAGTACCTGGTTTTGGGGACAGCAGGAGCATCGGGTCTATGGTATGACCACTGGCTCAGTCTGCATGTCCACGGTCAATAAATCACTCACTTTGCAAGCCACAGTTCACAAGTGAAGAGCCACTAAAGCAGGAGCTTCATGCCTTTTAGATAAAAACCAAACTAGAAATTTAAAAGATACACATGCTGTCCATAGAAAATTCTAATGCATACATGGGCCAGAAAGTCACCATAGTGACCATGCTTTTGAAAAAAAATGCTGGGGTGTATGCAATAGCTCTTAAAATACTCCTTTCAATCTGATGAAGCACAACTCCCAAGCCTGCGGCCTAGGGTCCATGTGCTTGTGGTCTTTGAGTCCTGCTTTATTAATATCCACATGAGCCTGAGCATAGACTATGGTGGCCTTGGGCTTCTCCTGGTGTCTAGGAGGATTCTCAGGAGCTTCCCAGTTTTGTGTTCTGTCCTCTTGACCTCTGCATTCGGTGAGCTCTGTCCCCGGCTCCCTGAAGCTGCTCCAGTCCCCACTCTCCACCCATGACCAGTAACAGCTTCAATCCCTACATCTCACTAGTCCAAGCTCTTGTGAGTAGCCATCTTTCCCTCCAAGTCTTGGGAATTAAAATAAAGATAGCTCTACCCAAAGCTCTCATCCTCTCTGTGATCCTCAGGGAAATTCTCCTGGCCCCTGTCTCCCAGGAATGTTGACCAGTCTCCTCTTTCTTCTCATCCAATTCTCTTCCACTATCCTAGGCTCATAAGCCCTTATCTCTCTGAGCGACTGGAGAAGACTAAAATTCTCTGCTAATGTCATATGTGAAATGCTTTTGGGCATCACAATGTCTTCCTTCCGGAGTGATCAGAGAAACTAGACTGTTTTCCATACCCTCCCCAGGGGCTCCCCTTGCCCTGCTTATATATTTGGAATAGCATTTCTTGTTTTTAATTTTTAAATAACCATCTTATTCCCTTCCCATTAAATCAGAAATATACTTAAGGACCAAAATATACCAATTTATATCCAACATTGTCCTTTTGAAAGTTGTACTCTTTTTCTAGGTAATTTTACTTCTGGGAAATAATCTCAAGACGAGTGATCAAACAAAAACTATGTTCAGAAAGCTCTTCATTGCAGGGTTATTATTAACAGTAAAAATTAGAAAATAATCTAAAAGTCTGATGATGAGAAGATCATAAGTAAATGGTCATATAGCTACTCAGCGGAATATTCTGTGGGCATGAAAAGGCAGCTGTGAAGACACTCCAGGAAAATAATTATGGGCTGTGTACTGTCAAAACAGATGTCAGCTTGTAAAGGAGATGGCAGCACACTGTTTGCAAATACATACATAGAAGACAGAAAAAGCAGTGACCAAAGTGCAAAGCAGGGTACTTTGGGAGTAACAGAACATGGGTCTTTCTGTGTGTGTATTTCTTTTCTAGTAGAATTTTATTCATTGTAATAGGGTTACACTTACAAATTAAATTAATTAAAGTAAATATACTTAAAGATATCAGGCAATCCTGAAAAACAGGAAACTTTAAGCCAAAGAATGGAGATAAATGAAGTTACGCATAATCTGAGCATCTCTCGTAAACATCAGATGCCTAAATTATATGCTTAAATTCTCCTTATATTAACTTCATGATACCCCATTTTACCGGCCATCTTGACTCTGGAAAGTAGTTTAAAAAACAGGTAAAGTCATAGGGTTAAACTAAGCAGAATGAAAGTCAAAGGTCACACACTTTCCCTTCTGTCTCTCACAGATGGACTCATTCGTGCCCCAATTGTAACAAGCTACAAATTCTAAATCACAGGACCTGAGAAGCCGAAAATTAAAAAGTCGTTGAAGTTGGGAAAAGTGATCTTTTCTAGTTTAACAGTAGAGTCCCAAGTAGAGAAAACCACCCCATAGTGAACCAAACATTTTGAAAAAGATTTAATTTTGGGCCCCAAGCATGACTATATTCTAGCATTTTCTTTGGTTGCTAGTTGTAATGACAGTGAAGTCCCTAATGAAGACACAGACTAGGCTTGAGATGCTGTTTAGTCAGAGAAGCACGTGATGCCTACAATTTAGAAAAAATTCCATGTAATGCAGCTTCTTTTCAAAATGAATCTTTGAGACCTGCTTTTCCTAAAAACAAACAAACTGAGCCAAATGTGGTAGCATATGTCTATAATCGCAGCATTTGGGAGGCTGAGACAGGAGGATTGCTGTTAGTTTGAGGCCAGTCTAAACTACACAGCAAGGCCCTGTCTCCAAAAAAAAAACCCCAAAAAACCAAAAACAAAAACAAAAAGAAGAAAGAAATCAATCCTACATTACTATATATAACTGCTCACTCCTCTATTATAGGCAATAAAAAGAACCACACTGGAGATTTTCTGGAAAGAGTATATGTTTCTAAGTGCAACCTTCTCCTCAAATTTTCTTCCTTTTGTCCTGTTGCTAATAAAGCGCTTTGATAACAACTTTTGAAACTCAAAGCTTTCTCTTTTTCTGGCTCCTTCTCCGAGCCCTCTTGCCTTGCCTCACTTTATCATAGACACGAGCTGCACCAATCCCTGGGACATTAAAATGGAGTGTTGAAAATGTCCACGTCCACTAAAATTAACAAGAAACTCTCCCTCCAGGATCTCTGCGAGTGCTGTAGGTCCTGAGAGATGACTTGAGTATCACAAATATCACAACAGTCAGAGCTGTTTGGAAACTTTTTGGGTTGTTTGTGTTAGTGGATCTGT